TTAGAAATACATTCTTGAAATGTGCATTGAGAGGCTGAGGGAGTCTGGTCAGAGTATCTCATCAGGATTTCCCATGTTCAATTAGCTAGATAGTTATCCAGAGCAGAGTGATGTTTTACCAAGATACTCTGTTGAGACCTTAATGTCTGATCTGTTCTTCCAGCCTGAGAAAAAGGAATGGTAATTTTTCTTACTTCACTCCCCTACACCCTCTAGGAAAGATAGCTACATCTTCCGTGCTCAGAGGGAAATTAACCACTAATTTGTGTTATACAAAACACCTGGAAATATGCTTCATCTAGATCTTTATTTGGGGTGAGTTTCAGATTTCTCAAGGGCAAGAGTAATTGCTGCCATTATTTTGAGGAGAATGGAAGAGTGATCTGACTCAAGGAAGTAATTACTGCTGAGAGGCCGGAGGGATGAGGAGCAGTGGGATCCCTGCCTGGCACAGTCAAGGTCTGGCCAAGTGCAGCAGAGATTTTATATTCAAGCAGCATTATCTGTTCACACTTCAACTGTATAATCAAACTAGGATTGACTGAGAAACTTGTTAGGGAGAAAAAGAATATCTCCACAAAAGACTAACTAAGATTATCCTTGACAATTCTAAAGGATAAAGACAGAAGAAATTTAATTTGCTTTATAACATAAAGGAATAGGACATTTTCCCCCTCCAGTGTGATGGAGCATTTTTATACTAGGTCTGCATATAATTTATTTATTGTTGGAGGAAAGTGAGAGAAGTTCACTTCTTACTGTAGTAAAGCTAGTATTAATAATGGGTAAACCAAATGCTTTTCTTTTCTAAACAGCCAAGATTCTCTGGGCTTCCACGACACCAACGACTATGGAAGCCTATGATAATACAGTATCCTTGAACATACTTTTTTGGAATATCTGTTACAGCTGTCCCTAATAGTAGACACTCTAAGTTGTCTTTTTAATATCTCTTCTTTGCTTCTTTCACAATAACAAACTCTTGGTTTTGTCCCCATCAGAAATAGATTCATATCAGGCAGTAAGTATATCATGATGGTCTAATAATAAACCATTTGGCCAGCCAAATACTTCATTTTCTGGTGTGCTGTTCTGGAAAATTTAGGCAGAGCTACACACCCAGTTGTAGACAAAGAGAGATTAGAGAATGTCTGACACAAGATTGTCATCTCGTTCCCTCCTTCTTCCTGCCCTGAATGTATCCCTCTGTGACCCTGTCACAACAAGCATGAGGACAGACAGAAAACACTGGGGAAGCTGCAGCAGCAAGATGGAGATGGGGCCCTTACTGACTAGATTGAACAGCTGAATCAAAACCTGCGTACTTTCTTTGTTGTCCTTTGTCTTATATTAAAAATAGAAATAAACCATGGTTGTTTAAGCCATGGTTTTCATTACTTAAAGCCAAAAGCAGCCTGTCCGCCAGCATTTCCACCAGTCCATGTTGCTATTCGTAATTAACAGACCAATGAGACAATTGAAGTAAAATAAAGCTTAATGGCCTGTTCTAAAACATTTCTTCATTTTTAACTCAGTCAAATGAGATTCCGTCCACCCAAAACTGAAAATAACCACATACAGCAAGTGTCATTAAATCAACAAAACAGACAGTATTAAGATAGAAAGTGACTTTCATTAAATAGTGTGTCACTAGACAAGGGTGGTGACGAAAGGCTTCTTTATGCTAAGACTAAACTATGAGAATCTATGGAAGTAGAATTAATCTGAATTGTATCCTATGCCTTGAATGTACTTAATGTGTTCTTTCTAATATCTGTACCTTTCTTCATTCTATTCTCTTTGCCTGGAGTACTTCCCATTCATTTCTGTGACCCACCAACCCTACCTTTAATACTACCCAACTCATGGGCTTATACCTGACCTCCTTGCCCTGTTCTCTCTCCTGTCTCAGATTCTCCTCGTGGCAGGAGTGGAGTTTGACTTAGGAATGACTGGACACAAGAATCCAAACACAAATATGTGCTTTTTCATTTTTTCCTACAAGTGAACACCTTAGCAAATTCTCTCATGTTAGGAAATTCATTATTGCTTCTAAGAATTTTATGAAAATTTGAAATACATGGCCTAGTAGAAACTTCTGTATCACAAAGGCATTTTATAAACTCAGTCTTAAGATCACATGCTAATTTATGGAAAAAGATGCAATTGAACTAAAATAACTAAAAACATTATGAAGGGAAACAATAAAAAAAATTATGCACAATATGTTTGAAAAATATAGCCATAGAGTGTGATAACTATTATATTAGTTGTAGATATGAACACACATTTATAGATGTACATCTGCCCTTTTAAAAATAATTGTTTTATACTCTCTTCTGAAAAATCATTAGCTTCCCATCTTCGTAAAGACATGCATTCTATAATGACTGACTAGAGTCATTCAAAAAGAAGGCTGACTTCAAATATTTGCTTTTTTAAGGTTTCTTTCTCTTTTTTTGACACCCAACAGTTCATGCCAATGACAAGAATGTCAATGATTTTCCTCATTTCAGACACCCAAGCATCCCATGCAGTTTAAAAATCCAGGCATGTCACCCCAATAAATTCAATTAAAGGAAAATTCAGGTATGTCCTACAATGTGCAATATTTTCATGAATAATCTAAAGTTACACAGAGTTTAATATCAGAAAAGAAAATCTAGATTTGCTCTGTGAAACCATTAACATTTTAGACATGGATAAATGCAAAATAATGCAGAACAAAGAAAGACTATTATGTAAACACCGAGCCATGACTTGAAAAATGTCAGCAGCCCTGTTTGAAAACAGAGCAAAAAGAAAAGGAAAATAGATTTAAAAATATTCTCCTTTCTGAAGAGATCACATTAATTATATTTGAACAATAATCCTCAATGCCGTTACTCTATCACACCATAATAGTTGTAACACAAATTGCTTGCAGTTTATTTCTCTTTGGAAGGACTTCATAAGAAATCACATTATACAACAGTTTTCAGGAATTAAAAGTAGGCATTCATCATTCATTTTGCTAATTTATGTTTTCTTGATGTTAATTATGTAACAATTAAAGAACAAGTAAAAGAAGACTTCAGATAATCAGGGAGCAAGAGTAATCTCTCAGTGTTATGTACAAGGATATTTTAATATAATGAATCATTATACTCTTATCTACTCCTCATAATATTAAGAAAGACTATTTTCAGAAGTGATAATTTGATTCGGACTCCCTTTAGGGTCCCATGTGAATACCTTAAATGATGTAACCTTTTTAATTTCACAGTTTCTGTGATAGTTTCCATGCATCTCACTTCTTTAGAAAATTTATAGGGGTCATTAGATTTTCGGCCAAATATTCTAATACTAAAGATTCCAAATAAATAATATAAACTTTTAAGAACTGACTTGATCTGGTAGATAGCAAATTTATTAAACACATGTAACCACTTCAATTGTACATGTGCTTTACTTTTAAGTAGTGTCTTAGTGTAGAAACTTAATAAATATATTATTTTAATATAATTTATTGGACATGAATGTAATTTTTGTTATATTCTGTTATAAGCCTGTTTCTTATATTGTGACATTGATAAAATAAATTCACACAACAATTAAGGTAAGCCCCCTGGTTCTCAGTCTTTGAACTGCTACCTGATAACTGTTAGAATAGTTGACTTCAATATCATAGAATAGGCTTGTATGAAGTTATTTTTAATAAAGCAGTTCAACAACCAAACAAAAACTTAGCTATTCTTCATTGTGAAATCACCTAAAACCATCATTTGTCATCAACTACATTGATCACACCTGTATTGTGTCTGTTTTGTAATTACAGTGGAAGCTGAAATATTGAATGTCTATCTACCAAAATGTTTAATTGTCTATTTCTTAAATATTCAATGAAGAGAATAGTGCCATTTAGAAAATAAATAAATAAGATCAAAGTCACAGATTACTTAGCTTCTGAACCTTAGTTGTTTCAAATGTAAAATAGCAACAGTGATGATACCTGTAATTTATGGAATAGTTGTTAGGGCCAAATAAAATTATATTTGAAGAGAGTTCTGTACTGCAAATTGATGATCAAATGTTGGATTTTACTTCACCTCACATACTTTAATGATTAAACAAATACTCAGCATCAACACTAGTTTGATAACTTCATTCTTCCAAAATACTTACTGGTGTAGACAAGTTGAAAGCCTTCATCTGTCCCTTCAGAATCAGAATTAAATTCTAGCCAGAGCTGATTTGAAGTACTACTAAGTGTCAGTCCTCTCAAAGATGCACCAGTGAAAGCACCTAATAGATGAGTCGTTTTATCTTTTCCATCATAAATCTGCAAAACATATGTATAATTACAATGCAAATGTACCAATAATAACCAACTCAAATGATACATTTATATATATATATATATATATATATATATATATATATATATATATATGTAAAAGAGACAATTGTTATACTCTTCCTAAATCAGTTTACTGCATGTTTCCAAAGGACAATTATACATGTATATAAATTTCTACAAATATCCCGTTAAGAGTTAAAATGCACATGGGTAATTTTATTACTCCAAGCACAGTAGAATCTAAGTAATATTCAAACTCATGTTATGTAATTTTGCTCTTATTATAAAAACAATGACTTTTTATGGCAGACACTCAAAATTGAGAAGACCTACAGAGATATTTGTTTCCTAGGTTGGTTGGTTGTTTTTCAAATGCAACTCCCTCAAGGGGACCAAACACCTGCTTTTCTAGTAACATGAATAATATAAAGTGCACTCGCTTATTTTTACAAGCTCTGTAACTTACCCATGTCCTTTCACTTATCTCACTTTTTACATTTTTTAAATATCAAGCTACAAGGGTACTAATTGCTTTTAGAAACTAATTTGACAAGTCAAAAGCATACAAAAACAAAACGGATAAGCTCCCACACATCACTCCATAATTCTCCTCACTGCACTCTCACTTGCCTCATTTTATTTCATTCTTTTTTTTTTTTTTTAGGGAAGAGCCTGAATGTAGGCCCCCACTAGCACAAATTATGCAGTCTAGTTTCCCAGTTTGGGGAAATGGCAGGGGTCAGCACATCTGGAGTGCAATGGAGAAGCCTTGCCCTGGGAAGGCCACCTTCGTTATCATGTGTCTCCCCTGCCAGGTAAACAGCTTTTCTTTCACCCACACATTCTGGACACCTCTTCAGGTCAGTAGATAGAGAGTCTTCCTTTTGACCACTGTGTAATAATCCATACAGTGACACTAACACAACTTGCTGTATCATTTCCATATTAGTAAACTCAAGCTTTTTGCCACTAAAAGTAATGTCAAAATAAACAGATTTTATATATAAACTCATTTCTTGGTGCTTGTATTTCAATACGATGGTGTTCAAAACATGGGATTTCTGGGCTTGATTATTCATGTATTGCCAGATTATTTTCCAAAAATGGTACAGTAATTAACTAAAGGTATACCAGCAATGCATGTTACCACTGTTTATATTTTCAGGAATGTGTTTTCCATGTGGTAGTTATTACCTCCAGTGAGGTGAACACTGGTTCTCGAGGGTCATAGAGTCTTAGATGTTAATTATGATGATATCTTACAGAGATCAAGTCTACCTTACAAATCTTATTCCATGGCACTTAATTTCATGGGGCTGGGGTTGGGAGTCTCTCAGATGAGTGCTAATGAGTAGAATAATCTGAGAAAAAATGCTCAAAGTTATGTCTCTTGCTTGAAATTGTCTTTCTCTGACCTGACGTTAGAGTAAGAATTGGGTCACTAACTCCTCATCCAGTGATTTTACCATAGCACCTATTCTTCTCAAATGTGGTATTTATTACAGGTAACACCTACGGGAGGATGTCTAAGTCATGCAAAATGGAAATTATTGTTATTCTATTAATATGAATGACCTATTTTTATTGTGCTAGTTTGTTTTAATTTGAAAATCTATTTACAATGTTTTCTATAATTTATAAATAAAAACTCATGTATACTTTTTTTTCCTTTTTTTTCAAATGATCTTTATCGGGTTTTAGTGTTAAGTTGAACTTAATAAAATGAATTGAAAAACTATAGCCATATTTCTAAGCTGAATTATTCAAATAAAGTAATGATCCTTTTCTATTTGCAGATTCAAGACTTTCTTTAACTCAAGAAAATATTCTGGAGTTTTTATTTATTTCATTATTTCATCCTTCTGATCCATTTATTTCCCACCTAAAGTTCCTATTATTTATATATTCAAGTCTCCAAACTACATGGCAAGACTTTCATATTCTCTCTTCTGAAATTCATCTATTTTTTCCTCTGAAAACAATCTTTCACTGATCTCTCACACTAACAACTAGAGTTTTGGCAGAAACTCATTTCTTTTTAGGTCTTCTAAGAAAATTCTAAATGTTAAAATTATTAGTCAAACTCTAGAAAGTCTTTCTCTCTTACTCTAATTATATTATTAAGATTTCTCATAACTTTTAAAGTCATTACAAGTTTCTCTTTTAATGCTTCCATAATTCAGATGAATGCATAGCTCCTGTTATTATGTATTTAACTTTGTCTTTCTTCCCTCTGATTACTTAATTCCCTTAAGTATGTGGTTATTTATATTAGCTATTTTCAGTTTTCTGTTTACTTATTCTGGATACAAATTTAAATGTTATAGAGACAACAAAAACTTTAACATACCACACAGATATAACTTCTGTTCAGGACTTTTCATATACTCTTCTAATCAAATTACCCATTCCCTGTTCTGCACAGGAAATTTTAAGTCTACAGCGCCAAGCTCTTTCTGCTCTCTTCCCTCATGTGGAGGGGATCTACAGCCTCATATACATCCTCAAGTTCCACCAGTTGATTTACTTGCTACATTACTACAGAGAGGGTGGTGGGTGGGAATAAGCTCAAACCAACATCTTCATTTAATTCCTAATAGCAAACATCTTACTGGCTACTCTTTTTTTAAAGGTCTTTCTGACAATTAAAAAAAATAAAAGGTGTGGTGATTATTTAAAGAGCATTGGAGGTAATAGAGAGAAGGCTGTATGAAAAAATTTCCTAAAATTATATGGAAATATCTTGAATACCTGGTGGAATCTACTTTATCATATAAATAAGTTTCTGTTTTAAATGATATAAATAATTTATTTGTCTTCAATAACACCAAGCCAAATGTTGAGGTCTTGTTAGTGCAGAAATGTTTTTAGGTTGATTATAGAAATTTCAATTTTTCACTTAAGAATATTATTAATCAGGGATAATTCAGAAGCAGGATTAGAAAAGTAACTTGCCCTGGATGGTGTGGCTCAGTGGACTGAACATGGGCCTGTGAACCAAAGGATCAAGGTTCGATACCCAGTCAGGGCACATGCCTGGGTTACAGGCCAGTTCCCAGCAGGGGACACACGAGAGGCAACCATACATTGATATTTCTCTCCCTCTCTCCTTCCCTTCTCCTCTAAGATAAAAAAAATAAAATCTTAAAAAAAGAAAACATAACTTTTGTGTCTATGAATTTCAAATGTTCATTATTCTCAGAAGTCTGCTTCTGAGTGCATTTGTTTTATGAAATGAAGTATTTTATAAACCCAGTAAATCTGGTAGATCTTATTTGTGTTAATATTGTCAAAGCAACCCCAAAGAACAGTTTCATTTTATTTCCCTTACTTCCCCTCAATATATAATTTGATTCCCATGTTAAATATATATAATCGTCTTTTGGATTTCAGCTAGTTCTGATTTCATGTTGTGGACACATTGAGAGAACTTCCAGTCTGTCAAAAGCAGTTAAATAAAGAGAAAATATAAACTAAACAAGTACTTACTATAACTGAGTAAACAAAAATTGGTTGTTGAAAATTTTTTAAGTCTCTCCTAACATTTTCTTCTCTCATTTTTGATGGCAATAAAAAATGTTTAATGGTAGCAAGTACCATTACTTTACTCCATATTTATATTTATACATATTGCTACATATAACAGTGTAAAAAGTAACAAAGTAATTTAACAATATTTCCATATATGTGTTTGGTTCTGGGAATAAAAATTAAAAAAATATTAAGACATCTTTCTTAACCCAAAGAAAAATTTAAAAATTAATGTAATGTTTTCTATTATAGGAGAAACATTTATTTTGGACCTTTGTATGTTTTTAAGCTAGAAGTATACTTTCTTCTTTTCAAGAGAAAATTTCTTAGAGAAATAATTTTAAGAATAATTACTGAAAGAAAGGGCATGAAAAGACAAATATTAAGAAAAAAAACAGGAAAAGAATTGTCTGATGCCCTTCTGGGAGGACCTAATTCAATACTAAAATGCAGGAACTACAGTTTATTTCACAATGTATAGTCAAAAGGTAGAAAACAAATGCTGAAGAAGCACTACTATAATTAAGAAAGTACAATGAGGCGTGATTATCCAACCATGAATTTTAAAAGCATGTACAAAATTATTAAATCCAATGAAAAGCAAGGCTTTCAAAAAAGAAGAATTTTATAGTGATAAGTTGATGCTGTTTAACTGGTAAATAAAATCCTTCAAATTTATTCAAATAACTATGGAAGCATAAAGGCGACAAGGAAGGACAATGTAGTGTAGCCAAAAACAAATTACTTTTGAAGGAAACATGAGTACAAAGCATACAAATAAGAGATCATAAAAAAATGTACCTTTCACTTAAAAGTAAATTTACCATAACAGCAATTATTCGGTCTGATCAGAAATGTAAGAAACCTTTATTTGAGATTGTTACTTCTCACAATTCTATTCTAACTAAAATTAAGATCTTTAAGAAAATTTTATTGAAATGGGCCTATTTTTCCTTTTTCAGGATGTACTGTAAATTATTATTATTGTTATTTTCAGCATATATCTTAATCAATCTCTAATTTTATCAGAAATTAGAAAGCTTAAAAAATTAGATAACTGTGTAACACATTTTAGTTGGAATAGACTCTTAGTGTTGCCTATAGAAACATTCTTAGTTACTGAGCACCTAATTCAGATCCTGAAGACTTACTTTTATGCCAAATATGAAATTACAAGTCAATTTAAGATTTAATATCATGAAAGACATTGAGTGCTTTTATAATGTTAATAATGTGATTTGATAAGACTCTAATTTGTTAAAAGGTTGCAATTAATTTGGTAGTCTAACAGTGGAACAGACTAGAACTTAATATTACCATTTTTCAATTATTGAACCTTTTGTAATGGATCAGGGCTTGAAATTAGTTATGGTGTTCAGAGCCTCCTAAGTCTGGAAGGTCAAACCCTATTTTCATGAACTGATTATCAACCCTTGAAACTGTTGTTGATTTTATAATACATGTATGATTGGAAGGTATATACTCAGCCATTTTTCCAATGAATTAGCAAGAAAGATGTTATTTAAACCTAAGAGCAGAAAGTACATAAAAAGTACAATCAAAAGAGAGAAATTACACATGTACTCATGTGTACAAACCTCCAAATTATTCCTGCTCGTGAACACTAGAATTTTCATTTTGTCATTTGTTTTATAGATTGATTTGGAAACATAAATACATTTTTTCTACCAAATTCTGAATGAAAAAGAAAGAATACATTTTACAATGGTTAGTCTAAAAGGACTATATTCTAAACCTTGTATGTTCCTCCAAATTAATGTGAAACAGAGCAGAGAACTTTTGTTTGCATTCAAATATTTGTACCTTGGAAATAGGTATATCATGTTTCCTCAGTTACAAGAGCTGGTATATTTTATTGAGGGAGTTGGGGGCACAGCAAACAGCCGGCTTTTCAGGGGCATTAGCTGTGTAGTTATATAACAAAGTTGACGTTCCAACTTCACAGTTCAAGTTGTGTGGGCTGTCATTAATTATTTCACTTCTGTGATCCTCAGCAGAAGAGAGCTTGGAGGCTTTTGCGAGGCCTAACACATCACGTTAAGCTAATGGATATTTAGAGAGTGTGTTTGAAAGGAGTGATGAAGGATTAACAGTAAACAGCAATAAGTAGCGTTGGTATGCGTGTGTGGTAGTTATATGAGCTCACTGATATGCTGAAAAATGTTTAACAACCAGCTCTCAAACCAACAAAACTGGGAGTATACATGTTCATATAGTTTTTAAAATAACCTTTATCAGTGTAAAAAGAGGTTGACACACTTTTTCTGAAAA